TAGATCTGGTGAAACAGAAGATACTACTATAGCTCATATGGCTGTTGCAACAAATAGTCCTTTCATAAAAACTGGTTCTATATCAAGGACTGATAGAGTATGCAAATACAATGAATTAATAAGAATTGAAGAACAAATTTTTTAATCCCTTTGCAAATATTAATATTGAAAGAAAGAAATAAATAACTTAAAATTATGCATATGTTTATTGTTAAAAATAACAAATGGAATTAGCAAATAAATTTTTTAGTAAGCTTTTTGGTGAAAAAGTTGGAGAAGACGAATTTGGCAACATATTTTATAAATCAAATAGGTTTTCAAGGTATTTTAGTAGAGATATGAGATGGGTTATTTATAATGGTATTCCTGAAGCAACTAAAATCAGTGCTAATTGGTATAGTTGGTTGCATCATCAAGATGATAAGTTACCTATAAAAAATACAAAAACATTATATAAATGGGTCAAGCCTAGGACTCCTAATTTATCTGGGTCTGAATTGTCTTATTATCCACCTGGACATTTTTTTTCAAATGATAAGGTTAAATCAGAATCATCTGGAGATTATGTTGCATGGAAACCAAAATAAATTAGTTTAGCTTACTTATGAAGAACATATTTGAAATTGTAGTTGGGTTTTTAGTTTTATTTGTAGCAATCACATTTAGTTATATTGTTTACCAGAGTTCTGATCATAAATTAGATAAAAATGATCAATATATAATCAATGCTATATTTGATAATATTGATGGTATTAAATTAGGTAGTGGAGTAAAAGTAAGTGGCGTAGTTATTGGAAAAGTTACTTCTCAACGTTTAGATTATGATACTTATTCAGCTGAAGTTCAAATGCTCATTAATAAAAAAATTAAATTACCAGAGGATAGTTCAGCTCAAATAGTAAGTTCAAGTATTTTAGGTGATAAATATATATCTATTACACCAGGTACTGAAGAGAAATCTCTTGTAGAAGGTGATACAATTGAATTTACACAATCATCTATTAATCTTGAAGGATTAATAAGCAAATTTATTTTTGGACTAAAAGGTAGTAGTAATAACGTGCAAATAGATGAAAATGCTTTTTCAAATTATAATAAATCGGATGAGCAAAACTATATATTCAATGATTCTAGTGCAGAAAACTCAATTAGTTAAATACACAATTATAATATTTATTTACTTAACTTTTATATTTAATTGTAATCAATACATTAGTGCATTCGAGGAAATAGAGAATGAGAATGCAGAATCTCCATTTAGTGTTCTTGATGAAGATATTTATAAATCAACTAACTCTGATTTAGATATTACTAAGCAATCGATAATTCAGGGAGAATTAGAATCTTTTAATTTAGCAAAAATTAGAATTTTAGACTATAATACTGGCCATAGCTCTAATAAAGAATTAAAATTAGAAGAGAATTTAGAATTGACAGAAGGGTTATTTGTCAATCTTAAAGAATGTAAAAAAGATATAAAAGATACTTTAAATCCAGTTAGTATGGCTTTTATTTCCGTTACAAATCATGATAAAATTATCTATGAAGGTTGGATATTTTCTAAAAATACTTCTATTGCATTACCAAAGATTGATGATGGACTTATATATTTAACTAGTTGTGATAATCAAGTTATTAATGAAGAAGAAGTGAATAAATAATTTTAAGTTATCTCATATAATAGTGGAGGAGCTAATGCTAAATAATATTCTTATAGTAGGTGCAAACAGAGGTATAGGATTAGGTTTAATAAGG